CTGTCCCGCGGCTCTTGCTGGCAGCAGTCGACAGGAGTCGGTGGAGCTCCGTGTTTTTTCATTGAGGTCTCTCTCCCTTTCAGTCGCGAAGGGAGTCTTGGCGTTTCTGTGCCTACGTTTTTCACACCTTGCACAAAACCCCCTTTTTGGGCAGCGTCCGCCGACGGGGAAGCTTTGGAGGAAGCAGCCGGGAGCAGTGACCAGTCCCCCTCACTATGTGGACATTTCTGGGTATTGCCTCCTTCATCTACGTGTATAAAAAGTGTGGAGACCTCATGACTTACGCTAACAAGGAGGTGCTGCTCTCCATGCTGGTGTTTTTCTCCCTCGGCTTGTTGCTGTCGTACAGGTACCACTTCAGGGGGCCCAAGCAGCAGCAGCAGAAGACCCATCGGGGGGTGCTCTCAGGTGTTCTCTCAGCTTTACCACTTGTTGGCTTCTTCTGGGCCAAACCCACCCCAGGATCTCAACAGGTTGAAAACCCCAAATCCAGAAAGGTAGGTTAAATTCAGAGGTGGCATGTGGGGTGCAGTGTCCTCCTGGTGTTCCCTGTGACTGCTGACCCCTCTGCCTTGGTGAGGAAAAGGAGCTAAGAAAGGGTTAAAGAGAGTTTTTCTTTAGATGCTGATATCTGATTTGTCATATTTTGCATTAGTTCAGGATGACAAAAAAAAACCAGTTAAACTGAAGTGATAGACCAGGGTTTTTGTAGAGTCAAATTAAATGTATGTTTGAAGAAAGAATTGTAGTAAAGGATTATTATACTAGTAGGAAAACATCTGAAATCACCAGTCTGTTGTAGAGATGAAGAACTGGAGCATCTCTCCTGTGAGGATAGACTGAGAGAGCTGGGACTGTTCAGCCTGGACAAGGCTCTGGGGGATCTCAGTGTATATAAATACCTGAAGGGAGGGTTCAAAGAAGACAGAGCCAGGCTCTTTCCAGAGGTGCCAGCTGACGGGACCAGAGGTGATGGACACAGACTGAAACACAGGAGGTTTCCTCTGGACATCAGGAAACAGTTTTTTACTGGGAGTGTGACCGAGCACTGACACAGGTTGCCCAGAGAGGCTGTGGAATCTCTTATCCTTGGATATACTCAAAACCCAACTGGGCACAGTCCTGGGCTGCCTGCTGTAACTGACCCTGCTTGGTGTGGGGGCTTTGGACCAGATGACCTCCAGAGGTCCCTTCCAACCTCAGCCGTTCTGTAGCTCAGTGATCAGCTTCCCATTACTTCTGTATAAAACACATTTGTCATGGCAACTGCGGTTAGGAGTGATTTTAAGATTATTGCTGTATTATTGCTTGTACAATAGCTACAGAACCTGAGCTCTTATCATCAGCCTGGTCTGCTGAGCCCAGTGAGAGACTTGCTGTGAGACAGTGGTGAGAGCTGTAGTTGGTGGCTGGAGCTTAGCTGGAGTCCTGCCATCTAAGGGTACTGACTGGACAGGCATATTCAGTACATCTGTGGCTCAGGACTGTTTGGCTACTTGCCTGTGTGCCTCTGGGCATTTTCAGCTGGGCACTGAGCCCTTGCACAAAGGACTTTTTTTGGCTGCAAGTTCTGGATTTTGATTTTCTGGTAAAGCCTGCGCCCCGATTTCTTGTTTTATTTGAATTCTGATAGTTGTTTTTGCACACCCTTACTGTCTTGTAGATAAAAACACCACACTAGAAATCCTGGTGTCAGTGTTGTTCTAGGCATTTATTTCACTGATGCCATCACATTTTTACCACTGTCAGCACTGTAGTGCTGAGGCATTTGCCAGAGTGCTTAGGAGTCAATTCTTTATTCTACCAGCTGGAGAAGTGACTTGCAGGTTTGCTTTGAAATTGCCCTTAAAACTTCTCACTTTGAAGTGTATACAATTAGATGCTGTTGGGAAAGTGCTATAACCTAGCTGGTCTTCAGGTACCAATTTGTATGTTAATGTCTATAATCTGATGTCTCTCGGTTCTTAGCAGTTTTAAATGTAGGTGAATGGGAGTTTTGCTCTACTTTTGACTGGTCAGTTTTCATTTTGGGACCACTTCTCAGTAACATTTTGCAGGTGGTTGCTTCTACTGACACTTTCCTATACTGAGTATTACCATAAACTGTTACTTTGGTAGGTAGGTTCACTTATACTAAAATTAAAGATAAATGCATTTTCCGGTGAATCTGATCACTTTTTCACTGCAAAGTGCTAAGACCTCCATGTAGTAGTTGCTCACTGATGTGAAGGGATTGGTGTGCTACTTTACAAAGAGTAAGGGGCAACATTGGCTTACTTGCTTTTGTAAGAACTTGACTTTCAGTCTCTCTGAGACTGTGTTAGTGATTGGTCTTGATCAGCAGGGCAGTTTTTTAACAAGCATCTTGATTTTGTTTGAGAAGGTTTTTTTGTTTAATTTCTCTACTTGTTTTGTTTTTGTTGCATTGTAAAGTACAACTGATTTCATTTTAGGCAAAACTAAACTGGAAGCTGCTCTCTAAATACTGCTGCTCTCTCAGTCTCCTAGGTGGAAACTAGTCCTAAGTCAGCTCTTTGACAAGGTTATGAAACAGATACATCAGCACATGTAACTTTGTTGGCTTTCTTTTCTAAAGGGTAAAAAAGAAGTAAACTTCTCAGAGGTACATCTGACAGAAACAGCTCCAAATGCTACGTTATCACTTCAACATGATCCAGAAATCATCATTGTGGGATCAGGTGTCCTTGGTTCTTCCTTGGCCACGGTCCTCTCGAGGGATGGAAGAAAGGTGACTGTGATAGAGAGGGATCTGAAAGAACCTGACAGGATAGTTGGAGAACTGTTGCAACCTGGAGGTTTCAAAGCACTTAAAGACTTGGGTCTTGAAGGTAAGTGCATTTCAAAATGCCAATGTATCTACAATACAAGGGTTTCTACACTCAGTTGTGTTTTTAGAAAAAACATCTCTACAGGGAAAATGAAGAAATACATTATCTATGCTTAATATTTTAATTTAAATTGCTTGTGTATTTCCAGTCTGCCATTTTGAAATACTCATCCTTCAGCGTCTGTGTTATGATAAGAAAATTAGACTCTATGTAAAAAAACAACTATGTCAATAAATAAGCTTTCTTAAAACCTTTTTTTAACTCACCTTTTGGCTTATATTTTGCAGATACAGTAGAAGGTATTGATTCACAAATAGTAAATGGTTACATAATTCATGACATAGAGAGCAAGTCAGAGGTTGAAATTCCTTATCCAACATCTGGGGATGGGCACGTGGCAAGTGGAAGATCTTTTCATCATGGCCAGTTCATCATGGGTCTCCGAAGGGCAGCGATGGCAGAGCCCAAGTGAGTCACCTTGTGAACAGCATAGTTGGGATCCAGAGGTTCATAAGCACTGTTCTCAGCATCTGTGAGATTCCTTATCTGTCTTACTCTGTCCCAACACAAAAGGCTGCTACCAACAAGACTGAGTGAATGTAACAGTTATATTTACTTGCTCTGATTTCTGTAGATGTGTTCATGAGTTGCTTATACATCATACATTAGCTTTTGAGACAGGTTAATCTTTAAACTATGGGAATATAGACTTCAAATATTAGGCAAAGTTTTGGGGGTAAAGAGATGATTCTCTTCCACTGGTTCTTGGGTTTGGCATTTTCCCAGAAATGACCTCAGCAAGCAGTGCATAGAACTTGTTTGGTCAAGAAATGAGTGGCACATCTGGTATAATGTCTTAGAAAAAAGTGAACACTTAATTCAGTAACCAAAATTACAGCTATAATATACATTTAAAGCTGATAGGACCTGCAGAACTCTGATTCACCTGCTGTTAACCTGACGTGTTGTTGCACTGCCTTGCTGTTGAAGTTTCTGTTAATGCAACAACCACTTATCTTTGGATACAGCCAACTTGCCTGTTGCCTGGCAAAGTAAGCCAATCACGATCTGCTCTGAGATTTCTGTGCTGGCTGACATATGGAAAAGATACAAATTCTGTTGCTTTTGTTCTCCCTGAGAGCCTAAAATATCAAGCTGTTGTATTCTCACATTGACCTTTAGCTTGTTTCTTTAAGTTGTGGAATTCCATCTGGAAATGAAAATATTTGTGAGGCAGGAGGAGTGTCCACTTCAATCTGTCAAGTCTGAACTGCTGGGATCAGGTCTAACAGCTCAGACTTAAAAAGGGGATTAAGTTTACAGAGGTTTAATTTGGGAAACCCAGATCAGCCTGATTGGGAGGTGGATGTTAAGGATGCTCAGTTCAAATTCCAAACATAAGCATTAGCAGAAATATAAAAGCCTAAATAACCAATTAAGAAAAAAAAAAAAAAGTATATCCTGAATTCCTGAGGTGAAAAGCTAGATGTCTCTGTCCTAAACAGGTTGGTTAGACTATTTTGGACTTATCTGAGAATTAGGTACTTTACCTAGTGTTGGAGTGCAACTTCGGATCTTGCTCCTGAGTTCTGCTTGGAGTCAGGTCTGTTAGCATTTCCCACCATTTAGCAGGGATGAGTTAGTCATCTGCGTGGGTTTTGACTATGATTAGGTGTCAGACTCTATCTCTCATGTGGCTATGGAGCACCTGAAGCACAATGGGGGATTCTGCTAAGTGGTGGGGTGTTTAAGATGAGCACTGCAATTTTAGAATATTCTCAAGTATCAAACTGAAATTAATGATAAGCACTTTTTGACATCCCATGTGGCTTCTGAAGGTGGTCAAGAATGCATCTTTGTAAAATTTAAATGCAGTGTTTGTGTTGGTAGAGGAGATTAATTAAAATCTGGCTTTCCTTCTGTGGCTAGTACCTTTAAATATTGGCATCATTAATCCTCTTCCAGTCTGTCCTAACACCCCTTTTTTATTTCAGTGCAAAATTCATTGAGGGGACTGTGTTAGAATTGCTTGAAGAAGATGACTGTGTCATGGGTGTTCGCTACAAGGACAAAGAAACTGGAGACACTAAGGTAAGGCAGTCTTTGTATTGAGAAAATGTAGGGTTGGCTTATATCTTTTTTATTTAAATGTATATACAAAATGTTTAAAAAAGCTGTTTTGGAGAACTGGTACAGAAATCTGGATCATGAATTGGTTGAAAGAAAGAAGTCAGAGAGTTGTGGTCAATGGGACAGAATCTAGTTGGAGGTCTGTGACTAGTGGAGTCCCTCAGGGGTCAGTACTGGATCTAGTACTGTTAAATATTTTCATCAATGACCCGGATGAGGGAACAGAGTGTGCCCTCAGCAAGTTTGCTGATGACACTAAACTGGGAGGAGTGGCTGACACACCAGAAGGCTGTGCTGCCATTCAGTGAGACCTGGACAGGCTGGAGAGTTAGGCAGGGAGAAACCTGATGAAACTCAACAAGGGCAAGTGTAAAGTCTTGCATCTGGGAAAGAACAACCACATGGACCAGTACAGGTTGGGGACTGACTTGCTGGAGAGCAGTGTAGGGGAAAGGGACCTGGGGGTCCTGGTGGACAGGAGGATGACCATGAGCCATCAATGTGCCCTTGTAGCCAAGAAGGCCAATGGCATCCTGGGGTGCATTAGAAAGGGTGTGGTTAGTAGGTCAAGGGAGGTTCTCATCCCCCTCTATTCTGTCTTGGTGAGGCCACATCTGGAATATTGTGTCCAGTTCTGGGCCCCTCGGTTCCAGAAAGACAGGGAACTGCTTGAAAGAGTCCAGTGCAGAGCCCCAAAGATGATGAAGGGAGTGGAACCTCTCCCTGATGAGGAAAGGCTGAGGGAGCTGGGTCTCTTGAGCTTGGAAAAGAGGAGACTGAGGGGCGACCTCATCAATGTTTACAAATATGTTAAGGGTGAGTGTCTGGAAGACAGAGCCAGGCTTTTTTCAGTGATGCCCAGTGATAGGACAAGGGCAATGGGTGCAAACTGGAACAGAGGAAGTTCCACATAAACATCAGAAAAAACTTCTTTCCTGTGAGAGTGACAGAGCCCTGGAACAGGCTGCCCAGAGAGGTTGTGGAGTCTCCTTCACTGGAGACCTTCAAAACCCACCTGGACACGTTCCTGTGTGATGTGCTCTAGGTGATCCTGCTCTGGCAGGGGGGTTGGACTAGATGATCTTTCGAGGTCCCTTCCAAACCCTAAGATTCTGCGATTCTGTGAAATAATGCAATTATGCAGCAAGTGAAAGATTCAATGAAGGAAGGTACTTTCTCGTTGATGCAGTCCTGGCATGTGGGAATTCTTGTTGTAACTTATGCAGCTTCTGCTTTCAGTGTGTCTGGAGAATTCAATTAATTAATTATTCATTGTAAAGCTGATCTATGTTGAGTGTCGAGGTTTTTCTGTTCTCTCTGTTCCCATTGTCCACCAAATTAGCTTTGAGATTTTTGTTCTCTTTAATAAGTTTGAAATAGAAATATTGGGCAGTGTGCTAATAGTAAAGTTATAACATTTATAACAAACAAGGCAACCAAAATAAGGAAAAGTCTTAGTATGTTGACTGGAAAAAGTGTAGCATGAATTAGACACCAGGGAACCCAGGTGTGCAGGTGACCCAGCTCTAATTGCACAAGTACTTAGAGCTTGCAGTCTTCTGAGACAGGAATTACAGGAAAGAGGTTTTGTTAGCTCTGCTCTCTCTTGAACTGTTTCTGAGCTCAGTTCTGTAAGTTCAGAGACCAGAAATGTATTATTTTACTTAGCTCTATCCTCATGTGATTCTGTCCTATTTCCCTGTAATGGAAGGGAAGTCATGTTACAAGTGACCGAGTCCCATTCCTGTGCAGGGGAGAATTGCTTGTAGAGGACCCCATTCCAGGCAGGGATTTATCATGCACAAACTGGCTCACCAGATGCTTCCATCCAATAGTAGAGTATTTTCCAGAAGCACTAATGGAACACAGCAAGCTTTTTTGCCTTGTTACTTACATCCTGAAAGCTTAAAAGGAGAACAATTTTGTCTGCTCATGCCAAATGGATGAGCTTATTGAAGGCCAAGGACTAATGCTCAGTAGAAACCTGCAGTTAAATCACTGAATAAACTGACAATGAGAAAGCTGTAGGTAGAAGGAAACATCTACCTCTAAATGTTTTCTACAATAATAATAATGTATGAACATAATGAAGTGCTTACATATTTTTTTTTATTATCAGAATTACTTCTTCATCTTAAACAATTGTGTGTGTTAAACACTAGAAATTTGTCCATATATTCAGGCTGAACTTAAATCAGTTTACTCAGATTGTATGTTGTCTAAATACACTGTGTGTGCTTATAGTTCCTAAGTATACTGGGAGTTCTTAGAGGTCACTGCTTGGTATTTTATAGAAGATCTTGACAGGCTTATTGCATTTCAGTTTGTTGTACTTGGTTTGTTTCTGTGCAGTTGCTTATGCGTGGTTCTTTAATTTAAAATTGTTTGTGTTCTTTTTTTCTCCTGAAGGGCATTATAGGCTGATAGGAGCAATTACTCTGCTTTCTTGTAATTGTTTTATCCAAGTTTCTACACAGTCACCATAACTATGCTATCTGAATGTATGTCTGAAGAAGCTGGAGCACATTGTTAGGCTAACTCTTAGAGGAAAGAGAGTTCAATACCAAGATGAGAAAGGCAAAAAATACTTGATTTCTTTATACTTGTATTTTAAATTTGATCTGTGATCCTCTTACTGTTTTGTCTAACATTTAATGTGCAAATGAAAATGAGGGCTTGGGAGCTGCTTCCCACTGTTCTAAAATAAAAATGAAAATGTCATACTTGTTTTTTCCTTTTTGAAATTTTTTTTCTTCCTTCTTCCATGCTACAGGAACTTCATGCACCTCTTACTGTTGTAGCTGATGGACTCTTCTCCAAGTTCAGAAAAAACTTGGTCTCTAACAAAGTTGTCATTTCATCCCATTTTGTTGGTTGCATTTTGAAGGTAACTATTATGACTATTATGTATAACACCATGCAATCCAGTAGCTGCAGTGTCTTAGTGTGGGTCTGAATTTCAGTAATTATGTTGTAGTTCATTACCTTTGTGCTTATGCTTTGCTATTTTGGCTGTTTGTCTACACTGAGAAAAGAGAAGAATTTATTTTTTTTTAAGCAACTGGTGACAGTTTGTTCTGTCTTAAATTCTAATATAAAATGTTTTCCAACAGAATCAATTAGAACTAGGCTTTCAAATATTTATGCAGCTGCTTTTCAGTTTCTGTGTCCATCTGAGGAATGCTTGGCTGTATTTTAAACTCTTAAATTATTGAGGCATACAGTATACCAGCTCTAGGATAGCTCAGCTTGTTCTGTCAGACTTAGTGTATTTGGTACAGTTAAATAATTTTTAACTCTTAAATACTTTCAAGTAACTGTGAGTCAATTGTAAAAAATCTATTTTGTTAAAAGTTAAATTTCTGGTTTTAATAACAGAGTACAGCTTTAGTCGAAGCATATAATTGAACAAGGGAGGGTTTACAAAACTGGGTTAGAATTCAAGTAGTTAGTTTAAACTGAGCACTGGACTCACTAGACCAGTTGGTAGAGCATAGTTTAGTTTTATTAGGAAAAAGAGGTTTCAGCATCTCATACAAGGAAATTAGTGCTATACCTTATATAGCATTAGTTTCTGGATTAGAGGTAGACACCATTGTAAAGCTTGAACCCAATTTATAAAATTATTTCCCTGTATTTAGGTGTTTTGACTGGTGTGTGTTAAGATCTTGGTAGCTAAGATAGTGACATATTTTTTTTCTTGATACTCATGGCACTTGTTCAGAGAGCAGAAATAATGAGGTTTAAATAATTCTGGCAACTTGGGTCAAACCACCTGGTTTGAAGGTGGGGCACCTAATAACCAGGTACTGACATACATCTTCAGGAACTATAAACTTTAAAAGTGAGAATCTAGGCTGGTAGCTGAGTGGTTGGAGAACTCAGGTAGGAAACCTGGCTGAGTCTTCCCCTCCATGTCTTCATCAATAACCATTGGATTAACAGCAAAAAGAATTAAGCAGAAGGAAACAAAACTACAGAACTGTCACTAGACTGGGAACACTGACTTGGAGGAACTCCAGCAGTTCTTGAGTCCCTACTGCTATAGCTATCACTGCCCAAATTCCTCCTGTTTCTTCACTTCTCAAAACTTCCATTTAAGACCTAGTTACACAGGACCCTAAGGTTCTTCCTCAGCTGGTCTCTCTGTGTAGTTGCATGCAGACTAGTGTAATTCTTTCCCTCCCGCCACTTTCTTCATGAAAATAAAACAAAATCATCTCACAAAAAACCTACTACATCGATTACATTATAGGTTTTCAATGGCATGTATTAAATACTAGGGAAGTATTCAAATGAAATGTGTAACTTAACCTATATCGTAGTAAACCTTAAAATGACTGCCAAAAGAATTGTAACTACACTGAAGTTCAGAGCTTTCTTTTTGTAAGCATTTCTCTTGTTCATCTGAGGAGAAAACTAACATGAATTTAATATGATAATGGATTTTATTTCAAAGTATTTCAGAAAATGCTTTTGTGTATCTGAAGTTTTAATATCTTTTCCATAAGCAGTCTTAATCTTTCTCCCTCATCTTTTCTATTTAAGGATGCACCACAGTTTAAAGCTAATCATGCTGAACTTGTTTTAGCTAAAACCAGTCCAGTGCTAATCTATCAGATTTCTTCAACTGAGACTCGGGTCCTTGTTGATATTCGAGGGAAAATGCCAAAAAATTTAAAAGAATACATGATTGAGAACATTCATCCACAACTACCTGGTAAGTCTAGAAAGATTTCCATCCAAAATTGTCACAATTAAAGGTGCCCAAAAAGGTGCCTTTTCTTTGAAACTTTTGAACTGTGTGGGCACATTGAACCATGTGCAGAGTAGCAGTCTGACTAACCAGTCACCCTGCTTCAACATAAAATAGCAGTTTTTTCAGCTCACATCTATGAGTTTAGCATTTCAGAAGAACTGTATCTGTAAAAAGAGGTTGAAATGGGTCTTTCGTAAATTATTTTAGATTCTAAGGAGTGTAACTAAAATATTTGGTTATTGCAGATCACTTAAAGGAACCGTTCCTAGTAGCAGTTCTGAACGATCGGTTAAGGACTATGCCAGCCAGCTTCTTGCCTCCTTCAGCTGTTAACAAAAAAGGTATGTACTATGAAATAAAAGGAGGGGAAAAGCCATTATAAACTTCTGGGACTTAAGGTTTTGTTGTCATAGACTTATACTTGTTGTTCAATAAAACTGTCACATCGTTCTTCCATGAAAAGTAATGTTTTGAAAATGTGTAGGTTGGATATCATTTCACTGCAATGTTTATACTGACACCAGACTTCAAAACCACACCTGCTTTGTTCTTAAGTTTAGATCACTCAGTTGCTCAAGCTCATACAAATGCGATCTTTTTAAGGAAAAAAATATTAAAAAAGGAAAGAAATTACCTTGAAAAGTGTCTGTGTGTGTTTGTGTTCTTCAACACACTCATGCATACCCATAGGGAAGAAAATATTTTGATCCTGATTTTCTTAAAGCCTTTTTCAGTCTGTTAAAAGAAAAAAGGATGTCTCGAATTATTTTGTTTTTTAATTTTTAGTTGTTATATCATTCTCTGGTGGGAATGAATTCATAGTAAGCTTGATTTTTTTTTTAATTTATTTTTTTTTTATATATAAAGGGCTTAAGTTCTAAAGGTATGTAGTGGTCATGCAGTATCCCATTAATTTTTCTTTTATTCCTAGGTGTTCTTCTTTTAGGGGATGCATATAATATAAGACACCCTCTAACTGGTGGAGGAATGAGTGTTATTTTAAACGATGTTAAAATATGGCGAAGTTTACTCCAGGATATTCCAGACCTTTATGAAGATTCTGATATTCTTAAGGTGAATCTTTATTTTTTACTTACTGGAGGCAGCGTTTCCTGCAATATATTCACACACTTCTAAGGTTTCTACAGCTCAGGACCATGTAAGTTATTAGTGAGGCACAGCAGTTTTCAGAGCTTTGGAGAGAGAAATCATACGTTAGGCATCCACCAGGGAGTGGGGCATCCACTGTGATGTGTGTGTGGCAAAGGGCAGATTCAAAACTGTGCTTGCCAACCTGTCTTGTTTTGTTTAAGGAGGCTGGTGTGCTGTGTCTAGTCAGCCTGCTTAGCTAGTATAATTTGATATTCCCATATTAGCAGTGTACTTGTAACATAGCTTGATTTTAAGCAGGATGGGTGTGAATCATCACACTGTTGTGAGCCATAGTTGGGAGGGTAATGAGCACCTGTACAGAGTTTTTCAAGACTCATCTTAGCCTCCACTAGCCTCTAGACTACTGTATTAATCTCAGGAGTAAGTTAGGAGACATCCTTCTTCCCCAGGAATTGGCACCATCAGTGGTGATGCTGGGTTTATTTTTTCAGTGATATGTAGACCCAGAATTTTGATCAGTAGATAAGATTTCTCATTTATTTGTTTACTGCTTTTAATTGGATCAGGTATGGTGACTTGGCTAAATGATGTCTAGAATAATTATAGGCTGTAAGAAAATAATTTGAAAAGTGTATTTGAAAATTGAGAAGTGATTCTCCCCTTAGAGGGACCCTGAACATCAGGACAACACAGGACTTAGCTGGACAAATGCAGATACTTATATCTCCACTGGTCGTCTCAGGCTTTCAGTTTTTCCCTACTTATTCTCAGTCAGCAGAGGGAACTAGGTGAGTGTTATCTTTCAACTTTCTGACCTGCCTCAGTCACCTACTACTATAGGATGAGGTGAAGCACACCCTGGAGCTACCTTTATTTTTATTTTTTTTCTTCAATATTTAGTGTATAAGGAGCTTAGATAGCTTCAGCAAGTTTCCAAAGTTCCTTAATGACCTAGCTTGGAACCAATCTAATCTAGTGCAAAATCCACCCTACATTATGACTCTTACCACGTCCAGAAAATCTTTTGAATGCTTTTCTGTATTTACTAACAGAAATACTTTGTTTGTTTGTTTGATTTTCCCCAGGCAAAAATAACTTTTTACTGGTCAAGGAAAAAATCACATTCTTTTGTCGTGAATGTTCTTGCTCAGGCACTTTATGAGCTGTTTGCTGCCACAGATGGTAAATATATTTTAAAGATAACTTCTGACTAATCACAACTTGGTAAACAAACATGCCTGGAGAGGGGATGTGTATGTGTATGAACATATATCCTTGTGTTTCTGTGTATGTATATATGTATATATATTTAAAAAAATCAATCAAATGGGTTTAATGAGTTATTTTGTGTTCTCTGTCTAGTTATTTAGTCCTGGCATTGTGCAAACTGCGTTTTAGAATTGTGAAGGAAAGTTTGGAGTTAGTATTTTAAAAAAAGCAGACAAAAACCTCACAAAAAAAGAAAATCAGAAAGCACTTCTTGTGTCAGTTTATATTGAAGAGTATGTAGATACTCTAGAAGACTATCCTTTACTTAAATAAAATGAAATAAAAATACAGCTGTGTTTAACAGAACACTGTTGAGTATGCTGAAAAAGTTCTTGATATGTGTTGAATGTGTTTGTTGAGTAATTTTAAATCTTTTTGTAGATTCCTTGCATCAGCTAAAGAAAGCCTGTTTCCATTACTTCAGACTTGGTGGAGAATGTGTCTCTGGACCTGTTGGATTGCTCTCAGTGTAAGTCCAGTGTGCTGGTAATAGTTAATGATGTGGATTAGGTGGAGCATTGAGAGCCTGTGTGATTATCTGCTTTGCTCTGCACAGGGAGAGTGGTGCACATGAGCCTATGTATTTTTGTTGGTTGGTTGGCTTGGGTTTTTTTTTGTATTTGTAAAGCTGGAGAACTTTAATGTAGGTGGCATGGGAGTGGCATGTAAGTTCATGTAGTTGGCATGGGAGTTTGGACGAAGTAGAGGGGTCCAAACTGGTGGAGGAGCTGGTGGAGACATTTCTTGCTTGACAAGTTGAGAACAGTGAAGGATGAGGTCTCCCATGGAACAGCATAAGGAAAAGATAAAACAGTAACTATTAAGGTGTTTTGAATGACCCCTCAAAAACTAGTGAATGCACAACAAGTATCTCTAGGTTGAATATGTGAGAATGTGTGCTTTTATATTGCTCTGTTTTTTCAAACGAGAGCTAAGCCTGTTGAGAATAATCCCCTGGGGGTTGATAAGGGCAGATACAGACTGCTGGAAATGAAGAAGAAGCAGTGTACATATGCTGTACTGTAGAAAGGAGTACAGGGTGTGTAACAGCTCCAAGATGACCAAGTTTTTATTTTTCATTTGAGATCAGAGCTGCCTAAGTTGGAGGACCTTTTGTAATCCTGAGTGGGGGTCTCCATTTGTGAAATAGAAAGCTGTCAGTGCTTTTAGCTTCTATTGATTTATATTTTATCTGTTTGTTTTTTATACAGGTTATCTCCTAAACCAATGGTACTGATTGGCCACTTCTTTGCTGTGGCATTATATGCTGTTTACTTTTGCTTTAAGTCAGAGTCCTGGATGACCATGCCTCGAGCATTTTTCAGCAGTGGAGCTGTTCTTTACCGGAGTTGTTCTATAATATTTCCACTTATTTACTCTGAAATGAAGTATTTGGTCTATTAAAATCCAGGGGGAAAATGTTCGGAAGAAGAAAACATAAATATCACAATGCCTTCAAAATCTTTGGACATGTGCTATTTATTGTGTTATGTTTTCTGCTCTTCAAAATGCAATTTCCTTGTTAAGGATTTGACTTAATTTTGGTTTTGTGGTTATATGCATATATATATATATGATATGTAAATATTCTTTTCTTTGCAATTAAAGTTTAAAAAAGGATTTAGCTGTTTACAAGGACCTTAATTAAGTGTTGATATGTGATAGGTAATTGCCAGTTTTGTCACTTTCATTCCTTGCTTTATCCATTGCTGAGTGCACCACTAATATTAATAAACAGAGAAGTGAAAACTGTAAACCATATATACTGCTATCATCCTTCATGCTTTTTTTCTGTTCTGTAGTTCCATAGGCTGTTTCTTTACTACTGTCAAACATTGAAACATACTTGATTTGAGTTATTTCTGTAGGGTTTGCCTCTATTTCTGTTGCAGCTGAGTGTCTGCTGACACTTAAAAGGACACTGTAAAGGATTTCAGATCTTGAAGTGTCACTGTTGCCAGTGCCATGTTGCTCTTCTGAAATAATTATTTACACAATTAATTTGAAGAAGTAATAATCAAATCACAGTTATGTTGGCTACTGCATCGCACTCAGGTACTGAAAGCACATGCTTTTTAAACTTTCTTCCTATCTCACATCCTTTTGAAAACTTAGGAGTTTTGGTTTGGTTTAATTGCGTGTGTGCAAATGAAGTTTAACACTGCCATGAACTGAAGCACAGCTACAAACCACGTCTACTGGAACAAATTCAGTCCAGGCTATTTCCAGTATACAGTAAAGTAATCTTTAAGAGTAATATTTAATGCTACTTCTTAAAATTCCTGGCAAGTACCATGAAGGTGTCCTTTCAATACCTGAAGTATGATATTTTTTTCCTGTAGAAATTCCTGCATGCTACTGAGGGGTTTGTGTCTTTTACTGTTGGTCACTCTTCCTCTCAATGTTGTCTTTATCAATGTGCTTTCCTTTGGTCTTGTCAAGTTTCATTTTTTTCCCCTTTCTTATGGTTGCTTTGCATTTGGCTGTCTGGCTCTCGTGCTTTGGTTTGCTGAAACAATCACACATAAGTGCAGCCAGCAGCTTGGGGATCAGCCACAGGTTAAATTTTTCTGTCCTGGTGAAACTGTCTATATCTTTTGAAAATTACAGGTTGCATAAGCTGTACATAAACAGACATTTGATGTTGGATTGTGAAAAGAATCTGTGGTGATGCTTTTTTAGTGTTTTAGTTGGCTGATATTTCAAATGACCTGTTCTTTTCCAGAAGCAAAAGTATGTATATTTTTCTAACCATATCACTTTTGATACCTTCTTAAAATTACACCCATCATTACTATGTTTGTGTTTAAACTTTAGGGTAAAGTAATAATATTTTCAAGTATCATTATACATGGTAACTAAATTATGTCCCTTTAAGATTATATAAGAATTTATATAAGTGTTTTCAAAATTTGTGATAATTTTGAAAATATTAATTTTACATTTTCTATTTTTTATATTATTTGCAGTCTCTTTAAAGTAAAGGATAAACAGTCCTGAGCCAAATATGCACCCTCAGCTAACTTAAATAAAAAGTTATGATATCTGTATTTATTTATTTTTCATTGTGTATCTTTGGTTAATGAGTTTTTTAGGTCCTGATTTAGCAGGAAGTACCAGTGTGCTTAAATTTGCATATGTGTTTAAGCTCTTTTTCTTTTGTTTTCTTCAACCTAGTGCCTGGTTAAGTGTCTTGATGCTCAGGGTAACAATCACGTGTTGGAAATAACAGTAGGGGAGAGAAAAATCTTGCCTGTATGTGTAAGAGCTACTTGGAAATATGACTCCTGAAGTGACTGCAAGCCTCATCCTCAGGACAAGATGAAGGCCTTAGTTTTGAAGGATTAGGCAAACTGGAATAATTTGTACTGAGGGCAGGGAAGTGCAGAGTGTGGGCTTCCAACTGAAGTGACTGGTGAGTTAGTCTTTGGTGGTGTTTGGCAGCTTTAGCTGGGCTCCTACTCCAGCTGGCCAGTGGCACACAGCAGAATTTCAAGCTCTATTCTGTAGTCTCTGTCTGTGGTGTTTTTCTCAGTGACACAGAAGGAGGTTGGGGGAAAGAAGCAGTTCTTGAGCCAAATGAGAGTCGGAAGAGTAAAGCTGGCAGTGGTGGGCAATGTCTATAGGTAAAATGGAATCTAAGAAGATCTAATGCAAGGTGTGCAGCAGCTGTTGGTCTGTAGGAGTCTTGGGTTTCATTTTTTGCATCTGTGTGCAGTAAAGGGAAGCACTGTGCCAGGGGAGACTGTCACAGGCATGAGTCAGCATCTGAGCAACACAATGTGCACACAGCTCACGCATTGCACAAAATATATACACTGCAACAGTGAATACCATCCTGTACCCTTAGCAGTGTGCTTTGATAAGTAGTGTGGACAGGAGACATGCATCATGCATAGGTGATTATCCTTGTGCTCCAGGACAGCTGAGAGAGCAGAAGGAGCAAGAAAACAGCTATGCATGATGATGAGATTGTATCTCATGACACGGTGCAGAAGTATGAAACCTTGCTGGTGGTGGGGAGGAAAGAGGAACTATAGTTGCTGTCTCTGTTAGTAAGTGGTTTGGAGGTTTGTTCATAGGTGAGCAGTTGGTTCATGCCTGCAAGTCATATTTCTTGTAGCTGGTTTGAGAAAAGTGGTGTTGGTCTGTTTTGTGGTGTTCGATTTGTTTTCAGTTAACCTTTTACTGGAAAACTTGCTGGGCAATAAGAGGTTATTTTATTACAGCTTTAAAATGCCTGCTTGTGCAGGTATTTGGTGTTGGATTTTGTGTGAGGAGTGACACCTGTTTGGGCTGTGTGTGTGTTTAGTACCTCCTCAAGCTCCAGTGGAAGCAAGGGAGGGGCAGAGCAGTGGTGGCAGTTTTCCTCTCAGCTTCACTTCAATCACCTGCAACAAAGATAAAGCACTTTATTAGTCAAGAATCATATGATGGATTTTGTAATTTATGACTCGATTGTGCTTAGAATTATAAAGTCATTTTGGTTCAAAAAGACCTTTTAAAATAATCAAATCCAACCATTAAACCTGCACTGCTAAGTTCACCATTAAACCATGTCCCTAAGCACCTAAGTGTCTTTTTTTATTGCCAGGGATGGTGACTCAATGGTGCCCTGGGCAACCTGTTCCAGTGACTGACGACCCTTTTGGTGAATAAATTTTTCCTAATGTCTAAACCACCACTGGTCGAACTTCAGGCCATTTCTTCTTGTTCTATCACTTGTTACCTGGAAGAAGAGACCAACTCCCACCTCACTACAACCTCCTGTCAGGTAGTTATAGAGAGCAATAAGGTCTCCCCTCAGCCTCCTTTTCTCCAGGATAAACTACCTCAGTTCTCTCAGCTGCTTTTCCTAAAACTTGTGCTCCAGACCCTTCACCAGCTTGGTTGCCCTTCTCTGGATACACTCCAGGATCTCAGTGTCCTCCTTGTAGTGGGGAGCCCAGAGCTGCACTCAAGTGCTTGACGTGTGGCCTCACCAGTGCTGAGTACAGGAGCACAATCACTTCCCTACTCCTGCTGGCCACCCTCTTTCTGATACAAGCCAGGATGCTGTTGGCCTTCTAGGCCCACTGCTGGCTCATATTCAACCACTGTCTACCAGCACCCCCATGCCCTTTTCCCTTGTATAAATTTCTAGCCTCTCTTCCCCAAGCCTATAGTGTTGTCTGGGGTTGTTGTGACACAAGTGCAGGACCCAGCACTGTTGATAAATGAAGAAAAGTGTCTTGGTGAGCACTTCTGTCAGCTCCATCAGGACTCTTGGGTGGATCCTATCCAGCCCCATAGTGTGTGTCTAAGTGGTGCAGCAGATTGCTAACCATTTCCTCTTGGATTATAGGGGCATCGTTCTGATCCCTGTCTCTTTCTTCCAGCTCAGGGGTTGAGTACCTGGGGAACAACTGGTCTTACTGCTAAAGAATGAGGCAAAAAAGGCATTTAGCACCTCAGCCTTTTCCTCATCCTATGTCATTATGTTTCCCCCTGCATCTAAGAAAGGATGGAGATTTGTCTTAGCCTTCTATTGTTAATGTATTTCTAGAAACATTTTCATTGTCTTTTACAGCAGTAGCATGATTAAGTTCTAGTTGGGTTTTTAATTTATCCATGCAGTGACATCCTTGGAATCCTCCTGAGTTACCTGCCTCTTCTTCCAAAGGCCATTAACAGATTAAAACTGCTCCCTTCCTGTTGATGCCAGTCATTGTGCTGTCTTTCTCCTTCATGCCTGTGTCACATGCCTGGTCTCTGCCTTCTACCACTTGGTTTCCTGGTCTTTGCTCTGCATTGGCAGCCAGAAGTGTGCTGTGATACAGGACTCAGTTGCTGCACTGCAGAAAGGTTGGCTAGGAGAAGTGGATTTGGCATGATGCCTGTGCTGGTTTCCCACCTGAAAGCTGTGACCTTGTGCAACTCCAAAGGCTGCTTGCATCTCCTAAAACCTAGTGTTGGTATTTACTGTTATACTGTTGATGCACACTGCTTGTTTTCTGTCAGCAGGGCAGGAATTTATGGTTGGCTCATGGTGTTTCCACATATTGCTCGCTGGAACCAGCTTGTGTATTCCAGACAAAAGCAAAATCCATTCAATCCAGAGTAAATATGAGCAGTTGGTAAATTATGCATCCTGAAATTCTGGCTTGCTCAGCATGACGTTGCTACATGAAAAATAGTGTCAGCAGTTCCTAAATTGTTCCCTGTGGAGCTCCAAAGAGCTGTGCAAGCTCCTGCACTGTCTATAGTGAGCAGCAGTAGGACAGAGTTTGCTGAGATAAAACTTTATCAAGGTATTGAAGATAAAAGCTGGTGTGGTATTTGAAATAATAGCTGAAATCCATTGTTAAGATAAGCAGAGGAACAGAAATAGGAAAAATAATCTGGATGTTAGAACCCAGCTGTGAGTGTCTTGGAATCACTGTGACTGGTCCTCTCCAAGCTCCTACTCAGTTTGTGCCAGTGGTCAAAAAGGTAAACAGGATGTTGGAAATTGTAATTGAAGGGCTGAAGCAAAACACCACAATTCTGCATGAAATGGGTCTTTGCACCAACTGATGTGTGGCACAGCAGGAGCTAGTCATGCTTTGGGCTGAGCCAAGAACAACTGCCAGGGAAAACTTTGGGCCTTTGCTTGTTGCTGAAGGTAAAGGGATACTGAAGACCCATAGAAAGGGCTTCTGGTATCACTGCCAGGTTCTAAAGCTGGTCTTCAAGTACAGGTTCAAGGCCACAAACACACACAGCAGACCCATGGGCCAC